TCCACCTGCACATGAGCCTCTCCACCTGCACATGAGCCTCTCCACCTGCACATGAGCCTCTCCACCTGCACCTGAGCCTCTCCACCTGCACCTGAACCTCTCACCTGCACCTGAACCTCTCACCTGCACCTGAGCCTCTCACCTGCACCTGAACCTCTCTTACCTGCACTGGAGCCTGCACTGGAGCCTCTCACCCGCACATGAACCTCTCCACCTGCACCCAAGCCCCTCCACCTGCACCTGAGCCTCTCACCTGCACCTGAACCTCTCTTACCTGCACTGGAGCCTCTTCACCTGCACATGAACCTCTCCACCTGCACATGAGCCTCTTCACCTGCACATGAACCTCTCCACCTGCACATGAGCCTCTCCACCTGCACATGAACCTCTCCACCTGCACCTCTCACCTGTACCTGAGCCTCTTCACTTGTACCTCAGTCTCTCTCACCTGCACCCGAGTCTCTTCATCTGTATCTCAGTCTCTCTCACCTGTACCAAATTGCTCCACCTGAGCTGATCTGAGGAGCTGAGAGGTTCGAGCTAATCCCTCCCAACCCTTCCAGGTCCAAAGCAAAGTCCTGCTGAGAGTCTTTTTCCAGATTTGGTAGAAGGGCTGACTCTCCCATAGGCATTTGTGAGGGACCTCGGGAAGAGCTGGAGTAACTGTCCTTTGATTTAGTGTGCTACACAGCATTTCCAGAAGTGATCCTTGGATTGGGGAAGAACATAGGCATTTACATTAAGCATCCATGGTGCCAGCCAACAGCCAGTGTTCTTAAGGAGAAACTCAAACCCCAGTGTTACACGATTTCCCCTGAAGCAAGGGCTCGCCCACATTTGTCACTGAATAATCATCACACTGATGGAGCAGGTGCTGTACGCAGACAGTCCTGGGGATCTGCCATATAGGATGTCACTGGGTCTTCACAGAAGCCCACAGGGGCATGCTACCCCCACTCCCTGTGTGTGTGAGCTGCTTGGCTTTGGAAGATGACCAGGTATGGCCCAGGCAGTGTGGTGAGACATTCTCAGGGCAAAGCCCCCAAAACATGGTAGTGTTCTTGTCCCTTGGATGTCTTGGTAACAATCTCTTGAGTGCTGGGAGTGTGCAACCTATACAACTCTAAATTCTGATGACCTCTGGAAATCAGTCGGATCTCTCTGCAGCTCTTGCTCCTGAAGCTGGTAAGATCTCAGAAGACCCGTGTTTCTGTCACCCATGGTGACACCGTCAGGTCTCTATCCTCATGCCCTCCCCTGGCCAGCCTTGGCAAACGTATCAACAACCATGAAAGAAGAATACTGGCCTCCCTCCGTGGCCTGAGTTCCTCAGCTCTGAAAGTGAGAGCTGAGTCTACAAGCTGGGTCAGAACACTTGCCCAGACACAGCCCTCCTGCCAGGGACTAGCACATGGTAGGTGTGTGTGTGGGGGGTGCTAAGGAATTGTCCGGTAATGACAGGGTATGAGGGCCAGGAATGCACAGGGCACCAGCACCACCTCAGCAGCAGAGAACTGAGGTCATAGTGCAGGAACCTGCTCTGGTATCAGGGCCAGCAGTGACTGCTGAAGGGAAGCAGGTCTCCAGTTCATTTCTTGATGCTCCCTAGCAAAGGACAGTTCCATAGGACAAAGCCTGGATGACACATTGACTATGACAATGTCCATGTGGCCTATTTTCAAATAGTTTGAGAGGAGGGGGGAAGAGAAGAGGGAAAGAAAACTAGAAAGGAAGGAAGAGGGAAAGGGGTAGGAGAGAGGGAGGAAAGAGAAAGAAGAGCAACAGAGACAAGGAGAGATTGAAATAGAGGGACCGAGATAGAGAGATTGAGGCAGACATCAAGAAAACAGAGAATACAGAGACAGACAAACGGACAGGGATATAGACACAGAGAAAGGAAGATAGAGACAGAGACATACAGAGATGGGTAGAAAGCAGAGAGAGGGACAGAGAGACAAACAGAGGAGTTCTTTCCCCCTTCCCTGTCCTTTTTCTCTTTCTCTGAGACAGACAGAACCATTCTAGGAATAGGAAAATAATTGCTTTCAGCCCAGGACATTCTTCCAGCAGTCACAAAAGGCCCCACAGGCAGCCCGGCCTTACATCGCTCACATAGCCCATATGGGTCCTCCAGGAGCACAGATGGGTGAAGTTGTGTTCTCCACCCCCACCTCAGCCTGGCTCCCTGTACTCTGGACTTCCACCCACAGGCCACGGGCATATGACCTGCCGTTTTTGGCACACTTGAGCGGCTTTGGGGACTACGGATGTCTTGCTGCCCTTGCTCTCTGTCTGTGTCCTGGGAAGTGAGGGCGAGAGGGGCTGTCCTTCCCTGTGGCCCTGGTGAGAAGGCAGAGCTGCCAGGGCCAGCCCAGCCACAGGAGGGAAATACACTGCAGCCACCAGGATCCACTGTGTTTGGGGTTTGTTCTCAGAGCTAGCAAGAGAGCTAATCCAGGGACCTGAGGTCCTCTGACATTCCCCTCCCGCCTCTCTTCTACTCTGGTTCCAACCATTCAAGTCTCCCAGTGATCAAGTGCCACACCCTCCTAGCAGAAGACTCCATGAGCCCCAGCTGTCCCTAAGACAGTGACCCCCACTGAGGCCAGATCTTCTGTGTTTCTGGCTCACTGTGTCTGCACCTGCTTCCTGTTCATCCAGAGAGCTGGCTGCCATGCTGCCCCCTCGGGCCGCAGCGGTGACGCTCTCCTTTTCCAGCTTCTTTAATGTCTGTGGGAAGCCTCAGCCCAAGTGCCCTCAGCTGTCCAACAGAACTGGGGCCAGACCCTGGGAGGGGCGCCTCTCAGTGGGCACATTCCCCTCAGGGCTAACCTGCAGTGTCCGGGAGCTATAAACACTCCGTTTCCTCCTTCCCAGGAGAGAGAAGTCTCCATAGCCGAGGACAGGCTGACTTCTCTGGCAGCAGCACCTGACCTAGATGTGAATTAAACTATGCGTGATTGGAGACATCACGTTGACTGGGGGTGTCCAGCTGGGAGTGGAGGAACACCAAGGATGTCATACCTGCTCAGCCTGTGGACTCTAATGCTGTCAGGTTCTGTAGGCCAGTCCCCTGCTCTTGAAGACACTTACTCTCCAAGCTGGACTTTCCCTAAACCCTGCATGGGGGCTTCTCGCTACAGAGTTAGCTGAGCTATGAAGATTCTCAGTTGCTGCTAACAAAGGTTCTGTTATCTTTGGAAAAACGCCTGCCTGAGAGTCCCCAGTGACACTGATAGGCACAGGACAGTAGTCAGGCCCTCTTCCTGACTGCCATACACACAGCTGAATCAGGAGACTGGACTCAGAGGCCAGGCAGTCCTAGGTAACAGAGCAGGGGCTGCCATGTATTCGGTAGGCGGCAGGGTGTAGGGACTAGTATTCTAAAGGCACAATTACTGGAAAAGCCTCGCCCCGTTTCTTGGAGTTCTGTTATGGTTTCTAAATGTAACAAGCACCCTGCGATGCACTGAGGAATGCACCTGTGTTCTCTCTTTGGCCCCCAGACACTGAACCTCACTGGCAGCCAGCGGAAAGTCCCTTCTCAGAGCCTATGGGAGAGCCATTCTGTATAGTGGGGCAGCTCTGAGCAGGAGCACAATTCCTCTTCGGTGAGATGGTGAGATGTGCATCCACTCAGACACTGGATTGGATAGAACTGATTTAGGGAAGTAAGGTCACTACTGGTCAACCAATCAGAGATGCTGAAGAGTCAGCATTCTCCCATCTCTCCCTGGGACTCTTCAGTCTCGATTCTCTCTCTCTCTCTCTCTCTCTCTCTTTCTCTCTCTCTCTCTCTCTCTCTCTCTCTCTCGTTTACTCTGTTACCAAATACTTTGTTTTGTTTAGAGAAAGGGTCTTACTATGTAGCCCAGGCTAGCCTTAAACTCAAGGCAATCCTTCTGCCTCAGCCTCCTGAATGCTGGGACTATAGGCATTAGCCACCACACCTGGCTTCAGATTTTATTTTGAGATGGGTCCTGGGGATCCTAGACTGACTCACACTCTCTATGCAGCTGACGCCGAGCTTTGGCTCCTCCAGGCCCTACTTCTGGGGTGATGGGCATTCTCCAGCAAGCCCAGTTTTATGTGGCACTGAGGACAGAACTCAGAAGGGCATGCTGGGCAAACACTCCACCAACTGTGCTGTATTTTGGGGTGTCAGGTTTTAAATGTCACCGAGCTGTACCCAAGGAGCATCCTGGTCAGAGCTGGGATGGGAAGAAACCAACAGCTCTGTGGAGCAAGAAGTAGCCATGTTCATGTCTGTAAAGAAGCCACTCTTTCTGGCTGTCACCTGAGAGGTTGTCATTAGCTTTAACCTGGGTGCGGAGAGTAGCTGATGATCTAGGCTAAAAAGGTATTGGTGAGGAGCCTCAAACAAGGCAGGTCACACGCAGACAGCACTGGTCCCTTTGAGAAGGCCTAGGTCATCCCTGCACTATGCAAACTGTGCAGATCTTGCAAGTGATGGAGCCACACACACAGAGATCGGGTGATCTAGAGACTCGGAAGTAGATGACAGCCGTTCCACATGGCTAGGTTCCACTTGTGACTTCTGGGATCTCAAGTCACTGAGCAAATGTTGGAATACCAAGGAGGTGCTGGATTCCCATGCAAACCCTGGCATTGCTCTGAGACTGAGCCTCAGTAGCATTATCAGATGCCTCTGGGTCTTTTCAGGTGAGGGGACCCCGTGAAGCCTGAGCCTTAGTGGGAGAAAAGAAACCCCTGTCATGGGGTTCAGACCCTATGATTGCTCCTTCCTGCCTTTCCTGCTTCTCTTTGAATGTCAAGTGTCTAGGTCAGCATCTTGTCCCACAGCTAGCTAGCCACCCACAGCTCTGTACTAGAGGTTGGTGTGACCTGGAGACACACCAGGCACCTCCTCTTTCAGGTGCTTCATGACACAGAGCTGTTTATTTTTTGGTTTTAGCAGGCACCTGAATTTCAGGTGTCAGACAGAACTGGAGCTGCATCCGGGGCCCCCACAAAGATTGCTCCCCCCCAGCCTCAGTGTCCTCATTTGGAGAATGAGGGCAACCCCAGGCCATAGGGACATTATGATAGGAAAAGCTAGTCCCCCTACAGACAGGAGGGTGTCAGAGACGGCTGGCTGGCCTCCCGCACCCTGAGCCTCTAGAGAGCCTCTCTGTGTGTGACAATCAGAAAAAGAGTGAAGGCAGGGAGGGGGAGGTTTTACTTTCCATCTCCCACCCTCCACTGGACGACAGTGTTGACTTTGGTCACCTGGACGTGGGACTAGCCAAAGGCTGCTGGTCTCTGCCAACTTGCACAGAAACAGCATCCACACCCTCTCTCAAGGCCGGAAGCTGCCTCTTCTCCCCCCCCCAGCCCAGCTCAGGCTCACAGCTCCCCCCACCCCCACCCCCGCATCTAATTCAGTGTAGCTGGTAATTAGTTTTGTATTGCCTTACACGGTGATGTTAATACTGATTACAGGGCCTGATAACTTTAGCAATAAATACTACCCAAGGCAGACAACCACCAGCTCTTGATTGGAGAAAGCTGAGGTGGGAATGAGAAGCAAATCGCTATGAGGGTGAGGGATTTAAAGTACTCTGCTTCCGGATCAGCAAAGTAGGCCCAGGTATCAGAGTGCTGTGCCTCGGGGGCCTCCAACTGTGGTGAGAAGTGTCACCAGCCCCTGAGGCGGTGCCCAGTGAGTGAGTTCTGTGTGTTCTAAAATGACAGCTGCAGGAAAAGAGCCCAGTCCTGCCTGGCCCCCTGTTCCTCCATGTCACACATGCTGTGTGACCAAGGCAGATGAGGGGCTGGAGTGAGGGGTGGGGCTGTGCAGATGCACAGGGTGTCCATGACACCCCCTGACTCAGGCTTACTGGGATTCTGAAAGGGGAAGTTGACATCACCTGCTCTCTCTCTCCCTGTCCCATCCCCAGGACTGCCTAGATGTAGCCAGGTGCCCGGTGCAGGCCAAGGCTTGTTATAGCTGCAAGCACCTACGGTGATGCACAGTCCGTCAGAATCCAGGACCAAGTGCGCAGTAGCCACTCAGGAAAGACAGAAAAGGAACAACACTCACAGCAATAGCTGGCATGAGGGGAAGTTCTGTAAGCACGGACAGCTTTGGCCTCACTAGGGTGTCTGTCAGTGACACTGCTAGGGAAGCCACGCTGGGCTGGGCGTGATGGCTGACGAGACGCAGCCCCCCCCATCACAGTTGCAGAGCATGGGGTACAGGAGGGAAGGTTTCTGAGCCTTTGGTCAACAGAAGCCTCTCCAGCCCCCTTCCTTCCTGCATCCTCCTCCCTATCTTCCTGCTAGGGGTCACTCAGAAGCGACTCTAGTACCCAGCTGGGGTGTCACCCTTCTCCCCAGTTTCTTCTGTTCCCCGCTAGAGCACTTGGCACAGACAGTACTTGTGTTAAATGACATGTCAGAGCCCCACATCTCCCAACAAAGTGTATTGCCCCAGGTGACGCTGATGAGGACTTGGATGGGTGTGTGACCATGAGGCCATATCTGAAGGGGTTAAATCCAACCAGCTGATGGCCAAGAAAGGCTTGTTTCAGAAGAGGGCTACTGAGTGGAGATGATGCAAGAATCGGACAGGGTAGTTTGTGGGACAGAGAAATCCATGAAATCATCCCATTTAATCATCCTTGTTCTAAAAAGATGAAAAGTCAGACTCAGAGAGGTAGAGACCTGACTCAAGGTCACCTGGTCAGTGCTTAGTGTGACTAGAGTAAGAACAAAACCCCGGGTTCAAGGTCATTGCTGCAGAGCTTCCCAGCCTTTCTTATTCGACTCCCACAGACCACACTTCTTTGTAAGCAGAGGCTTGGGGTGGCTGTGCATGGGCCTGGGACAGGGAGCCCCAGTCATGCCTCCAACCCAGGAATGAAATAAACAACCCAATGCCCCCACCGGGAGGCTCAGGATGATGTCACTGACACTGCCCTCAAAGAGCACGGATGTCAGCCTTTTATTGAAAGCCACAGAACAAAGCCACACCAAAGCGCTTTCTGTCTGAGGACAAAGTTCATGAGGGCCACAGCTTTGCATGGAGCAAGCTGTCAATCAGTACTTGGCATTTGATTGAGTGGATCATTCTGAGCCAGCTGCTGGGAGAACAGATGGCCCAGCACGTGCTCTATGCCCCACCTGCCTGCCTAGATCCTGAAGGCAGCCCTCATTATGGGCTGGGATGGCCCATCCATCTCTGACTGGCTCCCATGCCCACCTGTACCAGTCCACACTCACCACCCTGGGATCTTGGGTCCTCACTGTTTAGAAGAGCTGAAAGCAAGTGCGGCTGTGAGGAGCCCTTTCCCTGTCATGGGGGGTGGTGGTGGAATATGAATGCTTTCTGAGGCCCAAAGGTGTTAGTGTCTCTCGTCACAGTAGAATTGAGAAAGCAGATTTCTAGGCATGGATATCCTAAGGGACCAACTGACTCAGTGAAGCCTGGACTCACATCTCAGGTTGTCACCACTGACTACAAGAACCACCTGTCCCCATCCCAGTGGGGCTCCTGACCTGGGTAGAGGCACCTGAGCCTTCCTAGACTCAGCATGGTTGGGCGGTTTGAGAGAGCTTGGCTCATGAGACTTGGTGCTGAAATCCCATCACTTTCGGGGATAACAGGTTTCTCAGGCATGATTCTGCAAAGGAGACTTCAGAGGCCAGCCCAAGGAGGGCAGGAGAAGTGAGGAGGGAGTGCATCTGCCTGTCCTCAGCGGAACCTCGGAACCTCGGGGCTCAGCCCCTGAGAGAGAACCCTCTAGGTAAGCAAATCATTTCACTGTCTTTCAAGCACTGCGAAGGCTTGGGGTTGCGGGAGCTGACCAGGGTCCTGAAGACAGCCCTCTGGGAGGGAGCTTCTTCTGGGCCCAGAGATGCCAGTGTTGAGTGTGTACGGGGTCTGCTGAGGCCCCTTGCCGGAGAGCAGGCTCTGTTAGCACAGAGGAACAGACACCACCATAGAGACAAAGCTTCTATCTGAAGTTGAACTAAAAGTTTCTCCCTGTAACAGCGGATATTTGAAAAGACAGGTAGAGGATTTAGGGAGTAAAAGCTTGTAGTTAGGCAGTGGAGGCCCAGGGTGCCCAGAAGGAAAAAAAAAAAAAGCCTTTAAGGCTGGAGGGTCTATGGGGACAGTCACTTTCAAGACTACCCAGGACCAGCCATCTCTATGCCAAGATATGTCAATAAAGGATTGTCCTTTGTAAGGTTAGCCCACTGACAAGAAAGATCTGTGTGGCTCTTTTTGTCACATGGATTTGTGTGTGTGTGTGTGTGTGTGTGTGTGTGTGTGTGTGTGTGTGTGTGTTATGTGTGTGTATGTGGGGTGTGTGTGTTCATTCATCCATCCATGCACCATGCCCAGCCAGCACCCTCCTCCAGGCTTTCCCCAGAGGGGCCAAAGAAGCTCCTTTCCCAGAGTTCCACAAAGACCCTCTCTAGGGGTAACTGTCTGTCCAGGAAGCTCCAAGCAAAAGGCACAGAGGGTGAATGGGACAACAAATCCCACTGTCAGGTCAAGTTTGAACTGTGTGACCTGGACAGAGCCAACCAAGCCAGCAAGGGCTTCCAGGTGAACAAGGGAAGCCTGTTCCAGAGTCTTCCTCCCGCTCTCTCCTCTCTCCTTTGTTTCCTCTCATTCTGAGAGATGGATAGATTGTCCAGGCAGCTGGGATTGGGACCAAAAGGTGGGCAGTCACCCACATCCTGGACTTCCGACTGCCAAGGGTGGGGGGCTCAACTCAGACCAAGGCACAGTGGCATCACACAAAGGGCATTTTAATGTCACTCCTGAGCAGCCCA